GCTCGCATGTGCATTGGGAGAAGAATTGCAGAACAGGAAATGTGGCTGCTTCTTACAAAAGTAAATTGAAACTTGAATTTCCCACCAGTGTTCCAATACTTTCATGTGCCTCTTGGTCCTTGAAGTCAGAGCGCAATCAATCTCTGTTGTGCTTTCTGAGACTTCTGATTTACCATTTAGCTGCCATTGCATTGCAGAGTTTTTAGTGGAGTCAATCCTCATGCAAAAAATTATTCATAGAAGTGCAATTTGTTATTTTACATTCTGTTTTCTTTCACATTTTCAAAGACTGAATCTGCTTAAATAAATCTTTTCTAGATGATCCAGAATTTTCATCTGGAGTACCATCATGAGGACATCGATATACAAACAAGGCTGGTCAACACTCCCAGCCAGCCCTTGAGGTTCAAGCTCATTGACCGCATTTATTGATACCTTTGAAGCCCATACAAGTTTTTTTTTTGCATTCATTTTTCTGAGTAGATTGTGTAATTGTGTAATTTTTTTTGTTTAGATGAAGATGGAATTTCAATATAATTTTTTTGTATTTCCAAAGTTCAAAGCCAAACATTAATAACTTTGGTATTCTCTGAAAGCTTTTGGTTTTGATAAGAATATTTCCTCCCTGAATGTTATTAATTATATTACCTACCCAAATGTTTATTTCACTCAAAGCACAATGAAGTATTGGTTCTTATTTGGTGCCAGAATGTGTTTCATGGTATTATTACTAGCATTAGCTGTTATTGATTCCTTGAATTTGAAAAATTTGAGTACACCTTCATTATGCATTTTCTTGGAATATTTTTTTTGTTGGCATGGATTTTTTCTTCTAGATTTCATGATTAATGTGCCTAATATTGCCTTGTAAAATGGCAAGTTTGGCAACAAATAATATGTACAATTGTCCAAGAATTCTCACTTCCATGTTGGAGAGTAAGTGATGTTTTACGTATTTCCAGGGTTCTACCTCACTCTTCTGGCTATTTACTATGACGGATTTTTTCTAGCCCTGTTTTATAAGCAAGGATATTTATTATTTGTATCTGTCATACTTTGTACTTACATGCTTTTTTTTCATACAAAACACAAATGGTCATCCTCTAAAGGATCTTCTTTAATTTCAACTGGTGTTAGTTCTGTTTTGAGTCTTCTTGGAATGGCTGGATGTTTGGAAATTTTTTTAACACGTTGACTGCCATATGACCCACCCAAGGGTCATTTGGGTTTTTTGTCCTGTGGTACTACCCACCATTAGGCCATTTGCCACTTCATATTTGAAAGTCTTTATATTTTGGGGGTCTTCCTGTATGGGTGTTTGGTTTGCATGATGTCCTCTGAAGGTATCCACTTCCATAAAAAGAAAAAAAATTTTTCTGCAGTTCTCTTTGTAATGCTATTATTCATTAAAGCAGTGAATTAATTTGATACTTTTGCTCATTCAAGTAAATAACATATTTTACTGTTAACTCTTTATATTTGCCCCAAATCAAATAAAGTACATACATGTGAGTAATTAATAAAGTCAAAGACGATGAAATTAGTTATATGCAAAAAAGTTGGTACAGGCAATTACACAAATTAATGAGCAAAAATGCTGCTGCCACAAAATCTTCTCTATCTTCAATGAGTGTCTTTTCAGTTAAAGATTTCAGGTTCATGAAGGTTTGTGGGAGCACTGGGCCCAGAATGTAGATATTTTATCATGTTATTCTGTAAGCCTGTCTGGAACCCATTGCCTCCCTGAACTCCAAAGCCGTAGGTGCATCTCATAGATTCTTTGGTTGGTTGTATGCTGTAGTGTTACGCTCATTTAATTTAATTTAAATTATTTTAAATAAATCCATGAGTGGACCATTATATCATGAAACACTATGTTATGCAACAATCAGGACCGTAAATAAGGGGGGGGCAAGGGGGGGCATTGCCCCAGGCGCCACCTAAGGAAGGGGGCGCCAAGAAGGGAGAGGGTGTGAAGCAAGCCCATGGTGAATGAGGCCCAGAAAAAAAAGTGCTGCTCAGTGAAAATAAAATCATGCTGCAAAGAAAGTGGATTTTGATCATGTCATTCACATCTTTGTGTTTCGCAAAGCAAGGAGAGCTGTGCTATGACTAAAAGGATTTAGGGAAAAAGCCACCTGGAAATAAGACCCCCAGATTTCACAAAGGCAGAAAGGTGTCATCCCATTATGTTTGGGTCAGATTAAAGACTCCAACTTCAGCCCATTCCTTTAAAATGAACAGTATGGCCAACCCCCTGCAGGAAATCTTTTGATTATGGCTGTGTTGCAGGATGAGGTGATTCCACTCTCTGAACGCTTCTTGGAATTTGTTCTCAAGTAAAAATTGCCCTGGGGTCATGTAAAATTTTTTTTTTTTATCTCCTGCCTATCCACTCTCACACCTTTTTCCAGGGAGTGGAGAGGATCAGGATTAGCTCCCCTCCTTGACCCCCCCGCCCCTCCCTGAAGTCTGTTCAAGCATTGCATTGAGATGAGTCCATGTTCATAGCTGAACAGAGTCCTTCTTCCCTTCATAATGAAAATAGGAAAATTATATTTTATTTTATTTATAGCATTTTATTATATTTATATATTTTATTTTATTTATATATAGAATTGCTTCCAATGAGCGATGCTTTGCATCTTCCATCATTTTATTTTAAATGGAAACGAATCAGTGATATTTTACTTGAATAATTTATGGAAATTCACCTTAAAATATTAAAAACATGGATAATTATGAGCCACATCCCAGCTTGAATGTGTCTCAACATCACCAAGTGAATGTCTTTAATTATCTAATATGTGTAAATATAGAGAAATTAATAATTATGAAGCAACTACCCGGGTGGCTTTTATGCATTTTCATCTCAGGTGGCAATTTTCAGCTTTTGTCAATTCTGGGGATCTTTTTTCCAGGTGGCTTTTTCTGAACCCCAATTATAGAGGGCGACTTGCAAGTGTGTCAATGAATACTCTTGGGATACTAAAGAGCTCATGACTATTCCGTATACTTGAATTTAAAAAAAAGCCAACTTGGCTTTGCCATTCACTTAAAGGGAGGGCGTGAAAACTTAGATATGGATATACAAGTACTAGTTCAAAGTGGACGGGCAGGCACAACTCAGGGAAAACGCCAGGGAGGGGGGGGGCACGTTCATGACTCTCTGTCCTGGGGTGCCACATGGAGTATTTATGGCCCTGGCTATAATGCCTGCAGCAAGAACAGCCACATTCTTCATATCTGCTATTGGCAGCTTTGAAAGTTACTTTGCTTGTATGCAGACACCAGTGGGTTTTATGGCCCCTGAGTGATGTTGAATCACTATGAGGCCATATGACCTATCAATATCCATATATCAAATTTTCTATGTACAAGATGTGTGGAATTCCAGAAAGCATTCTTATCACTAATGACCATTATTGTTGCATTGTTGCCCTAGTCATGCTTTTGGCCTCTGGGGGAGGAATAAGGCAATAGGCAGAAAATGGACATGAAAGACAATGTGTTAATGGAGTTGTGACTACTTGTATGCCAGATATGCATTAGTTCCATGCAATATTCTGATATTTTTTCATCCAAAATACAATTATTTGTTTCTCTGTTGCACCTGTGCTTGGTCTTTGGAATTTATGGTATTGCTTACCTGAATGTGAGATGGTTCACCATGTATACTCAACTCTGTACCTGGTGTTTGGATTCCTCATACTCTTAACAGTATTATATATGGTATTATTGCTGCTTCTTTCTCTCAGTGAGTGCCTTATTGAAGTGACAACATTTCCTTTTGTTTTCTCAGCAAAATATCTCACTAGATGCTTGCTTTCAGCAGCTTTTTCTTCAGGGTTGTCAATGGATGATTGGAGGTAGAACATTCCTTTTTCCTAGCCTGATGTATCTCCATGAAAGCAGGCATGGAATGGGTGTCTCAATTTCCACATGGAGACAACTTCTTTCTTGATACTTTTCTTTTTGTATGGAATTGCTGTATGGCTCCAATTGGAAAGCATTGCATTTGCTGAATTCCTAATTTTCGTACTTATTACTAGAGAACTGATGATGATCATTTTGCTTCACAATGAGCACTTTCTTAACAAGAAAAAGGAGAAGCTTAGCATTTAATATGATCTTTTGCTTGGCTTCTCAGGATATGGTCTGCTAATTCTATGCTACCTCCATTTGCTGTAATAATTGGGGACAATAAAGAATACTTCACCTTTAGATGTTTTTGCCATTTTTCCATCCAAAGCTGAACATGTGGTCATTCAGTTAGTAATGATCTGTGTAACTCAAAATATGAACTAATTCACATTTTGAGTATCAGTGTGACACTTTCTCCTCTTGAAACTGACCAATTGTTCCTCTGGTGTACCTGTTCCTGATCATGCATTTTGATAGTAATATTCATCTGAATGTGATAGGATTTCCCTAAGATGGATGCAACTCTTTTCTTGGAAAATGTTTGGAGATCTTTTACTTTTATCAGTTTTATCAGTACTTGAATAGTCAAATGTCATAATTTATGCTTTATACCTCATAGGGGTGAATTTCCACGGTGTAATTTTTTCATCTCCTCTGCTACAGTAACAAATAAATGCATGCTTTTATCCTCTTTTTTATGCTCTTTTTTCATAAGCACTGATAGATGTTTAGAATAATAACCTGCTGTTCATTCATTCAGAATGTTCATTGCTCAATACAGGATTGGAATGGAATTCATGCATTCCTAATAATAAATTATAATAACAATTTATAATAATTATGTTATAATATACAATTATAATATACAATTATAATAACAATAATAACAATTTTTCTAGTTGCTTGTACCTTAACACTGAAAATTCTGGATTAAGTGGAAATACCACAATTTTGCCTAGTCTAAATGATAATACTTTTCTTTAATCTAATGCTTTCAGTTCCTGCCTGATGCCTTCACTGAATAGAAGCATGACATGATTGCTCTGATATAATGGAAACACTCACATGATGTAGGGAAGCCTTGTGCTTTGATATATATCATTTCAAGGATTTCCAATTGTGTTTACATGACACTTGGAGTAAATGGCTAAAGCCAAAAATCACATCGTTTCCTTCATGAAACAATGGAAACTTAATGGAAAATCAATATTTTCTACGAGATTATCTATGATCAGCCTTTCAGAAAAATTCCAACAAAATCAGTCTCAGTTGATGGAATAAGTTTCTTTATAAGCTCAAGTTTCTTGGATGCTAGAGGGGTAATACTCCTATCAGGAAAAATTATTATTTTTAGTTTCTACCTGCAGGAATGGGGAGGAGTGGTACAAGATTAGAAGCAGGGTTCAGCAGAGCATGTTGAAACCTAAGTCGGCTCTTCTGTACCTCAAACCCATGGAAGAGGTGGCTGAAGAATTTGTAGAAAGAATGAAGTCACTTAGGGATGCCAATGGAGAATTACCAGCAGATTTCATCAATGAACTCTACAAATGGGGTTTGGAATGTAAGGTTCATTTGCATATGCATCACTCCTGACAGTCTCATGATGTATGACTAGCATGTTGTTGAAGAAATGCTGTATTATTCCTCCAGCTGTAAGTTTGGTGACACTGGACAGGAGATTGGGATGCCTTGAGCCCAATCTCAGTGAGGATTCTCCCCCACAGAGGATGATACAAGCTGTTAATGACATGTTTGCAGCCATGAATAGAACTGAACAGGGAGTTTTGCCTTGGTGAAAATTCTTTCCAACCCCATCTTGGAAGAAGCTAGTTCAATCTCAGAGAACACACATGGAGTTAGTCTGATAAAACTTACTTCGCACAAGACCTCATTCATCCATTTTACTGATAATCTCTTCTGCATGTTCTGCAGAATCAGCTTGAAATTCATCGATGAGTCAATTAAAAATTTGAAGGAGAGGAGAGTTGATGAAGAACGAGAACCTAGTGTCCTTGAAATTCTCTTATCCAAGACAGACTTGACTCAAAAAGAGGTGTTTGTGATGATTCTTGACATGCTTTTTGCAGGCATTGATACAGTATGTTTCACCTGTCTCTCAGTCCTATGTCAAGTCATCTACATGTTCAGTATATCAAGTTGTATCTCTTGGCAGACCTCAAACACAGTTGGATTTACCATGTACCATCTGGGAAAGAACCCAGAGAAGCAGGAGAAGCTTTATGAGGAATTGAAGAAGGTATTGCCATCCAAGAATATGCCAATCACTCCAAAGATCCTGAATGAGCTCTCATTTGTGAAAGCATGCATCAAGGAAACCTTAAGGTGAAGATTTTTTTTACATGAAGGGAAATGCTTCAAGTTATGCTATGTTGTCTGTAATAGACATTTCTCCTTATTCAGGTTGATTCCAATCGCTCTTGGAACAATTCGGGTGTTGGATTGTGATGTTGTCCTTTCAGGATATCATATTCCTAAGGGGGTGAGCTGTCTTGATGAAAATGACTCTCACTTCAATTAATTGGGTAATTTTGTAATGAGTTCTTCTTTCATCAGATGCATCTAATCACCATGAACTATATTGCATCACATCTGGAGGAGTATTATCCTGAACCTGAGAAGTTCAAGCCAGAACGATGGCTACAAGGACAGAAGGATGAAGTGACTGCATTTGCCTCAATTCCATTTGGTCATGGGGCTCGCATGTGCATTGGGAGAAGAATTGCAGAACAGGAAATGTGGCTTCTTCTTATCAAAGTAACTAGAGATCTGAGTTTCCCACTTCCTGAGTCAGTCTTTGTAATGCCACCAATGAGAGTCAATATATATCATTGAACTCTCTCATTACATTTCTGAGCTCTCAGTTGAGTCAATCCTTATGCAAAAAAGTTCACAATGGAAGGGCAATTTAATATGATATATTACAGGTTTTCTTTCTTCTTTTCAATGACTGAATGTGTTGGAATGAATTTTTTCCAGATCATCCAAAATTTCCACCTGGAATACCATCATGAGGATATCGATATACAAACAAGGATGGTCAACACTCCTAGCCAGCCCTTGAGGTTCAAGCTCATTGACCAAGTTTATTGACCAACTCTTGAGGTCCTATCAAATATGTTGCTCGTCTGATATTCTAATTTCTTATATGATGTATGCCTGACTGCATGAATTTTTCTTCACCTTGAAAATGGATTTAAAAGATTTTATCATTTCACAAATTGTACTGTACTGCCAGACTCTCTTTGTTAGTAGTGACTTTAAACCTATTTTCCTACAGAGCATTTTCATGTTGGCCCCAACTGGAATTACAATGCATTTAATTTCGTCTCTGGTACAATATTTTTTGGAACCTATTGTGATCACAATGTTTTTTTATTTCAGTATTACCTGTATTCACTGTTATGATTTGCTTCAAGTTGACAATTTGAGTTTGTCTCCATAATGTCTTACCAAAAGATTTTGCTGCTGCGAATATTCTTCAGTCTTTACATTTGGAGTGTGCCTTTATGATCACTAGTGACCTGAGAAGTGTTCCCCAAATAACAAAAATCATTACACTATATATATCCTATCATTGTCAAATGTTGTGCTGTATGAAATTTCCAGTTTATTTTTATACTACCCATGGTCATGAGTGATTTCTTCAAGTTCTCCTTTCCAATCAATAATTATTGTGATATATTTAGGACCTGAATGTATTAAGGTTTATGAACATAATGTTCACTTCAGATTTTGAACTGGTGAGTATATTGTGATTCAACTGGACATTGTTTAATATTTTGAGGTTTTATTGCTGTTGTTAAGGGATGTATACTCAAGATGTTCTCATTCCATGATTACCATGTAACGGTCTGGCATTTTCAATTTTTGGAACTGATTATTTGTTCTTTCTTGTCTGTGACTGGTCAATGCAATTGAAATACTGGCTGGCCCAAAACAAAAGTCCAGAACTTCGTGGGTCTGCAAATGGGACACTGTGCTAAGCATCATCTTGAAATTTTCATTGTCATACTCAATACATGTAGGTGGTTTCTGGGAAATTTAAATGAATTTCCCTGCTCTGAACATGAGTAAGAGCTCTTTCTGTTCAAGTCGTCAAATGAGCAAAGTGTGTGGGAGCATTTGCAGGCATGCTGCCTTGGCCCAAGATCCAAGGAGGACACATCCTTGGAGGACCCATCAAGCATTTCTTTCATTGAGGTCGGTCAAATTTCTTCGTGCACTCACTTTTGACATCACGCAGGAGAAAAAATTGTTACACGTGTAGTTTACGATTAATTTCAATAAAAATTTCTTGTTACATTACCGGCAAATATTGCATGTAAAAGCCTGTAAATATCCTGTTGATAACTCATATGGTACACCATCTGCAGGTGTGTTAAGTTCGGGACTTTTTTTTGGGCCACCCAGTATACCTGAATGTGATGAGATTCCCCCTCATAGGGACTCATCTCTGTATTTGCTCAGTATTTGCATATTTGACAGTTGCTTTTCATGCTTCATTCTCTCATGGGTGGTATAGTCAAGATGGCTTCCATCTATTTCTTCAGCAATGCTTCTCAATGAAGCTATGGTGTATATTACATTTCTCTCATGGGCTGTCTGTAGATGTTTTGGTTTTTGCTTTCATAGCAGTGTTAAATAAACTCTTGGTCTTTCTTAATCTTGTATTTCCATGCAAAAACTCTTTGAAGTATTTGACTCTTCTATGGTCTTAAAAATAAATATGTATTTTTAATTGTGCTTTTCTGACAATGCTCACTATCAAATCTATCCTTCCTTTTGACCTCATTATTATAATTTTAGACAGAGAACCTTAAGTGTGGTTATGTCGATGCCAGGACCAGTGTCACTCTGGCCCTCCATTTATATGGAAATGGCTTTGAAAGTCTTAAGGGTGGTGGAGTGATTGTGCTTATTTATTATTATGACAGATGAAACCCTGGTTTGCCTCCACCCATTTTGAAATTTAAAAATAGATATATTCCAATGTGCATTTTAAAAATTTTGATCGCATAGGGTATACATTTCTCAAAGTTAGTGAATGTTCACAATTTTCCACAACAGAGGATGAGATTGCTTTTGCCTGGAAGAAGAATACTAGGCAGTTTAAGTGGCTGGACCACTACTCCCTATCCATGTCGATCCAAGGCAACAGAAGCATCTTATGCTGGTCCATCAGTCACTGACAAGACTCCATTGTCCTTTGAAGATATTCCTGGAACCCGAAGCATCCCTGTTCTCGGTTCACTGTGGGATGCCACCCTCCCATTCTTTCGATGTATGTCACTTTCAATTGTTCACTTAGTGTCTTTATGTAATTGTGATCCAACCTTATCTTATCCATATCTTGAATTTTGGGGATTTTTCAGCTTCAAAGTTTGACAAGAATGCACTCCATAAATTCCTTTGGTCCAGATACAAGAAGTATGGACCAATATGGAGAGAAGTCTTTCCCCTTCGATTCACTGCTGTCAGCCTTGTCAAGCCAGAAGACATCAAGATGATGTTCCGGCTGGAGGGGAAAACCCCTGAACGGCCTAGTCTTGAATCGATGAAAGAAGTGCGCCTAAAATATCTTGATGAGCAGCTTCAAAATCCAGGCGTACTCCTTGCGTAAGCTCTTGTATGCAGAATTCTGGTACAGGCTGATGTCAGGGGATGGACTGCTGTCCCCTATTCATCAGCACATGTCACAGACAGAGTTTGAGCCCACTGCAGATTAACAAAGTTTTAAATTCCAACAATGGATTCCCATTTTGGTGAGGGCATTCCTTAGAAGAATAACATGACTGCTCTCAAGTCATGTCCCTTTGGCACTATAGGGGTATATTAAGATTTTACCTTTCTCCTTAAATGGACTAAAATGAGGAAGCACTTGATTTAAAAGTGGGGAAACTAAATAATGCTTTTCTTAGTATTTAGAACAAATGAATTTTTTAGAAGATAACAGCTTCTGTTAGGTTTTCATGCATGATTGCCTGTGTCCATCCATTTATAGTGGGGAAGCTAAGAGGAATACCTTACCATTCCTCACCAGATGTATTTTTATTTTTATTTATTTTATTTTTTGCAAGAAGTCCTTCTGATCCCATGAAAAAATATTCACCCTTAGAAAACCATTTCCTCAAAGGTGCCTGATCATTCGTCTGTCATAGGAATTTTAAAAGAAACATCAGTCTCATCGTATGATTGAATTAACCTCAAGTGTGTAAAATCCAGTGTTTTTTCTTCTTGTGTGATACTGAATGTTCATGATGAAAGCTTCCACATCCAGGAATGGAAAGGAATGGTACAGGATTAGAAGCAGGGTTCAGCAGAGCATGATGAAACTGAAATCAGCTCTTCTGTACCTCAAACCCATGGAAGAAGTGGCTGAAGAATTTGTAAAAAGAATGAAGTCACTTCGGGATGCCAGTGGGGAATTGCCTGCAGATTTCATCAATGAACTCTACAAATGGGGTTTGGAATGTGAGGTTCATTAGTATTTGGCATTCCTAATGGAAGTCTCATAATGCATGACAGAAAAGTTGTTAAGAAAATGATGGATACTTCCTGTAGCTGTGAGCCTGGTGGCTTTGGATAGGAAATTAGGATGCCTGGAACCAAACCTCAGCAAGGATTCTCCTCCACAGAGGATGATAGGGGCAGTGAATGACATGCTTGCAGCTGTGAATAAAACAGAATTTGGAGCCTTGCCCTGGTGGAAGTTCTTCCCAACCCCATCTTGGAAGAAGCTAGTTCAATCTCAGAGAACACACACGGAGTGAGTAGTGATGAATGCATTTCTGACAAGACCTTATTCATCTATTTTACTGATAATCTTTTCTGCAATTTTGGTAGAATCAGCTTGAAATTCATTGATCAGTCAATGAAAGCTCTGAAGGAGAGAAGAGCCGATGAAGACCGAGATCCTAGTGTCCTGGAAATCCTACTATCTAGGACAGACCTGACTCAAAAAGAGGTGCTTGTGATGATTCTTGACATGCTTTCAGCGGGCATTGATACGGTTTGTTTCACCTGTCTTTGAGTCCAGTGTCAAGTCAGCTACATGTTCAGTATATCAAGGTGTATCTCTTGGCAGACCTCAAACACAGTTGCATTCACCATGTATCATTTGGCAAAAAACCCAGAGAAGCAGGAGAAGTTGTATGAAGAAGTGAAGGACATATTGCCATCCAAGGATACGCCAATCACTCCAAAGGTCCTGAATGAGCTCTCATATTTGAAAGCATGCATCAAAGAAACCTTCAGGTGAGATTATTTTCACATGAAGGGAAATGCTTTGAGATTCCACATAGTTCATAAAAGACACGTCTCTTTACTCAGGTTGAATCCAATTGTTTCTGGAACCGCTCGGGTGTTGGATCGTGATGTTGTCCTTTCAGGATACCACATTCCTAAGGGGGTGAGACTGTCTTGATGTCTCTAACATAAAGTAATTGGGTAATACTATGGTATTCTTTCTTTAATAGGTGTTTCTCATCTCTGTGAACATCATAACATCTCGCCTGGAGGAGTATTTTCCTGAACCTGATAAGTTCAAGCCAGAGCGGTGGCTACGAGGACAGAAGGATGAACTGACTCCTTTTGCCTCTATCCCATTCGGTCATGGAGCTCGTATGTGTCTTGGGAGAAGAATCGCTGAACAGGAAATGTGGCTTCTTCTTACTAAAGTAATGAGATCTGAATTCCCTACTACCCATTCCTGATACTTTCATGTACGAGGGCCACTCAATAAGTTATCTACCTGAATATGAAAGAAACATCAGAGGGGAAAAATAACACTTTATTTTTCAATGTAGTCAACATCTGACATCTGCAAGGAAAACTTGGAGTTTTCTAAACAAATCGGGGAAACTTTTTTTCCCAGAATAGTAACTGTTGATGAAACTTGGGTTCATCACTGGGATCCCGAAACCAAGCAGGAGTCCATGCAGTGGAAGCATGAGGGATCACCAACGCCTCGCAAATTTCGTGTTCAGAAATCTGCAGGAAAGATTATGGCCACCGTGTTTTGGGACAGCGAGGGACTACTGCTGGTTGTGTTCATGCCAGACAAGTGTACAATCACTGGTGATTCCTATGCTACCATCATGAAAAATTTACACGATGCCATCAAGGAAAAACGCAGAGGAAAGTTGTCAAGGGGGGTCCTTCTTCTCCATGACAATGTGCCCGTCCACAAATCATGGAAAGTTCAGGCAGCAGTGAGGGAGTGTGGCTTTCAGGAGCTCAACCATCCTCCCTACAGCCCGGATCTGGCTCCTAGTGACTATTTTCTGTTCACATGCTTGAAAAAATTATTGCTGGGAAAAAGATTTTCATGCAATGAAGAGCTGAAAGTTGCCATTTCTGATTGGTTTGATGGACAAGAAGTTGACTTCTATTCCCAGGGAATAAAATCCTTGGAATCAAAGTGGAATAAGTTTGTTGAGTTAAAAGGTGACTACATTGAAAAATAAAGTGTTATTTTTCCCCTCTGATGTTTCTTTCATATTCAGGTAGATAACTTATTGAGTGACCCTCGTACCTCTTGGCCTTTGAAATCAGTTAGAGTACACTCTAACAATCTCTCTAGTGAATTAGTAGCCCTCCCATTCAACCTTGCCATTATATTTTAGAACTTGTAGTAGAATCTGTCTCCATGGAAAAAATATTCACTGTAGAAATGCAATTTGGAAGTACTACATTATGGTTTTCCTTTGTCCTTTTCAAACACTTACTGTTTTGAAATGAATCTATTTCAGATCATCCAAAACTTTCATTTGGAGTACCATCATGAGGACATCAATATACAAACAAGGCTGGTCAACTCTCCTAACCAACCCTTAAGGTTCAAGCTCATTGACCGCATTTATTGATCTCTGGAACCCATTCAGATATTTCTTTTCAGTCATATTTTAGCTTTTGATGAAAGGCATCCCTGATTGTCTACTGTTTATTGCTTCTCTGAAGATGGGATTGCAGGCTTTTTTGCAAGTCCAAAGTTGACTTCCAGACTATAATCTACTTGGGTGTCCTTTGAATGCTTTAGGTTATGGTAAGAATATTTGCTCACTGAGCATTTTTAATGGTATTACCTGCCCAAATGTTTTTTTCACTTAAAGTACAATTATACTGAACAAGGTGTCCCAAAAGGTATGGAAACATTTCAAAAATTAATATCTCTCTAAATTATGCCTCAAATAAAATGATTGAAACAGTAAAATGAAGTGCAACTCAAACATTTTTCAACCTGCTATTGCAATTCCACATGGGTACCATTTGTGATTTTGTAGATGTCTAAGCGATGTTTGAGCTCTTACCACACCTTTTGCAGAGTGTTAGGCATAACTATCGGGACCACTTGGACGATTCTGTTCTTTGGATCCTGATCAAGTGTCTACTTTTCTCCAGTAAGTGAAGTCCTTGACATAGCCCACAAGAAAAAGTCCTCTAGGGTTAGTTCAGGTGATCTTGGTGGTCATGGAATGAACCTGCTATGTCCAATCCACAGATCTGTTTTCTTTCCATGCCTTAACTTGCTAAAATGTGGAGTTGCAACATCTTAGAAAATCAGACTTTTATTGTGCCTGAACCCATCCCTCTTGGATTTTTTTTTACTATTATGGGGCTATGCCAAGGACATTCTTGAGTAAGCAATCTTCAATCTGATCTGAAGAACAGAATTGATGCAGTTATCCAGAAAGTTATACACGACACTCTGCATAAGTTGTGGTAAGAGCTTGAACATCGTTTGGACATCTATAAAGCCACAAATAGGGCCCATGTGGAATTGCAATAACAAGTTGAAAAATGTTTTAGTTGCATTTCAATTTACTGTTTTCATAATTTTATTTGAGGCATAATTTAGTGAGATATTAATTTTTTAAATGTTTCCATACCTTTTGGGATACCCTGTATATTTGGTCCTACTGTTGCCAAAATTTGTTCAGTTGCAGTATTACTTGTATTTATAGTCATGATTCCCTTTAACTTGACATACTTAAGTGTTGTTTCATGATGATGCGTATTAGAATATTTTTTAGCCATGGATTTTCTCTTCATCACTTTCACCATGAATGTGTCTATTATCCCTTGGTAGGAATGGCACTCTGGGCAGCAAATAATGGGTAAAATATGCAAGCCTTTTCATGTCTAGGGAGGGTTACAAGTTGTGTTCTATATGAAGGGCTGAAAGGTCTGTCTAAAAAAAATTTCCAAAAAAGAGTGTTGTTTTTTGTGCTTTAGAACCTTGTTCCTTTCATAGAAAATTATAATTTAATTTAAATTAGGTAAGTAGGTTTTCACATTAACCTGGATATTTACTTTGTGGTGGTATTTTTGTATTCTCCTGGTCATTGCTGGATTTATGGAGTTGTGAAGTAATGTATGCCCAATAATGCAATAGTTCCATGTGGAAGTCACACTTTTTCTCANTACACATGTCCAAAGTCAGTTCTCGATGAGTCCCAAGAATGCTGACTCCAGCTCAGAAGAACATATCTGACATCTGCAAGGAAAACTTGGAGTTTTCTAAACAAATCGGGGAAACTTTTTTTCCCAGAATAGTAACTGGTGAGACTTGGGTTCATCACTGGGATCCGGAAACCAAGCAGGAGTCCATGTAGTGGAAGCACAAGGGATCGCCAACGCCTCGCAAATTTCGTGTTCAGAAATCTGCAGGAAAGATCATGGCCACTGTGTTTTGGGACAGCAAGGGACTACTGCTGCTTGAGTTCATGCCAGACAAGTGTACGATCACTGGCGATTCCTATGCTACCACCATGAAAAATTTACACGATGCCATCAAGGAAAAACGCAGAGGAAAGTTGTCAAGGGGGGTCCTTCTTCTCCATGACAACGCGCCCATCCACAAATCATGGAAAGTTCAGGCAGCAGTGAAAAACGCAGAGGAAAGTTGTCAAGGGGGGTCCTTCTTCTCCATGACAACGCGCCCGTCCACAAATCATGGAAAGTTCAGGCAGCAGTGAGGGAGTGTGGCTTTCAGGAGCTCAACCATCCTCCCTACAGCCCGGATCTGGCTCCTAGTGACTATTTTCTGTTCAGACACTTGAAAAAATGTTTGCGGGGAAAAAGATTTTCATGCAATGAAGAGCTGAAAGTTGCCGTTTCTGATTGGTTTGATGGACAAGAAGTTGACTTCTATTCCCAGGAATGAAATCCTTGGAATCAAAGTGGAATGAGTGTGTCGAGTTAAAAGGTGATTACATTGAAAAATAAAGTGTCATTTTTCCCCTCGGATGTTTCTTTCTTATTCAGGTAGATTACTTATTGAGTGACCCTCGTATAAGGATAAAACTGCAGATTTTTTTCCCGTGAAGATGCGCTTGTTTCAAACATCCAAAGAATGCGAAATTCCATGTTGCCACCGGCATCAATAACCTTACCGTTCCAGTAAAAAAGTGGACAGGAAGGTGATTTGCCTTTTTTTTCTAGCCCAATCGCGATAAACGAAGTCGCAAGAACTGAAATTTTAGCGTGACGTCGAATTGCGCAAAATTTATGGCCATATACGAACTGACCATTGAACTCAGAATCATCCAATAAAGATTCCAGTGATTCCAGTGACTAGAGTAAGGGCCACAGTCGATGAGTCAACGGCTGCAGCGTTCGTTACTTTTGATTTTTTGTGACTGCTCAAGAATGTGCGTGCCACATATGGCGTGAGCGGGTAAGCTTAGGAATGCGACAAGTCTTTGTGAAGCATTTGGATAATTTCGTATCCTATTCGAAACAACGCATCATCTCAACCATTATTTCGTCATAAAATGAATTATTACTTAACTCAACTTATGTTGGATTCAGCTTTCTGGCTTCAAAATCTGACCGGCACACAATTGACGAAACGAATGTGAAATCCAATTTTCCCACTTTCCCTAATCCGAGTTATCTAAATTAAGTTTCAGAAAAAGGTGGGCACATTATTTGAATCCATTCGTCCCAGGTCTGGAGAGACTAGAACATCTTCAAATCGTCTATGACAATGTGAAGAACAAGGGTCGGAGTCGGGAGGTGGTTAGGGAGAAGCTGTTAGATATCGGGAGACAGTTCAGATCCACCCAGTTGGAAGTGCACCAACTCATCCGTCAGGCTCATGCCAGTCTCTCCCGACTCAAGGAAATCGCTCTGGAACCGGATGTCTTCACCGTCACCGAGTACATCGATCTCCTCATTCAACAGGAGAAACGACATGGTAACAGCAAAAGAGTCGAAGCCCTGGAAGCCTCTCGCCAGGCGGCCATGTGGCTTTCGGCAATGACGGTCCAGGAAGATTGGGATCCTTTCGATCAACCTCTCTCTGATCTGAAGAAGATTGACCTGGAACTCATGCTTGAGGACGAGGACTGCGACATCCAGTTCCTGGGAAAGCCAAAGGGGTTCATAAAAACTCTCAATATCTTCTCACATCGGTAAGGGGTTGGAGAGGACTGAAATGAAATGCGGCACGTTCTTATTTGACTTCAAATGCTTCTTGCAATTCAAATTTTCTCTCCTTTTCATTTCATTTTTCTTCCTAAAGAGACCTGGAATGACAAATAGTAACTTGGCTTTCAATGAATTTTCAAGACATTAAGAATGAGATATTTCATACTGAAAAAAGTATGGGGAGCTGGGAGCTTTTTTTTACATTTAAGCACATAGTCCCCTCATTACTCTCCTTGACATTAGTACGAGATTAGAGATAGATCTACGTAGACCTAGATTAAAGTAAAGTACTTTTATTTTTATTATCCAGTGTCAACTAAGTTCTGGAAATCGTGGTAATACAGTACCCAATGCTGATAAAATTCTGACTCACCGGAGTATAGTCACTTCTCAATACGGTTATAATTTCAACAGGAAGGAGATACTTGCAGTGGATGATAATGAGCGGAGATTAATCCAGGAGAAATTCTCAGTGCCTCCAACATCAAACGTGCGAAGCCCAGCGACTCATTTCATCATGGTATGGTAATGATTTACATCGTATTTATGGATAAAAACTATATGTATCAATTCTCAGCCTTCGGCCTTTCTAGATGGAGGAGGTGAGGTTGGCCGAGCGAATTCGATCCAGGTCCATTTTCATGGGTCAAATCGATGGATACGACATGTATGAATTGAAGAAAGAGGTGGTGTGTAGGGAAGAAAATTCATACGGCATTTATCACGTACTCAAAGACGAATACCCTGTCACGTGCATCGGGAAAATCGTCATGTTCGTCGGGGCCACTGGAGCAGGTTGACCCACATTTGTCTGGTACCCCTGTCGATTCGATAGCATTAGGCCACCTTGAGCAATTGCTCAACCTGATAAAATCCATAGAATGTCTGATTTGTGATACAGTTTGGTTGAATCAGCAGCCGAAGAGTAGGAAACGTAGCATGGATTGGGTAAACCTAATGCCTCCTCTCATCTACAAAGCAAAGTAGAAACGAACAAGGAGAGGAACAAATGTGAGAAGTACATATTTTTTATCCTTTGGGTCCGCATGCATACCTCCTTACGGTACCTTTGCGCGGATGTGGTCCAGACCAGGGCCAGCGCGAGTACCCTTGCGTCCCTGCGGCCGCAGGGGGCCCCAGCAGACTCCAGGAGCCCCATCCCTAAGAGGGAGAAATAAATAGGTAAGATAGAAGAACGAAAGAAAAGAGTAAAACCTTTGAAAAGCTGTGAAATATTCCGAAAGAGATGCAAGCTCTGAATGAGATGGAGAATATTCCTAGGTCTTCCTACTCAGGATAGACGAGAAGGCCGAGTTGGGCAAAATCCGTCACCAATGCAGAGGAAGTATTTATTTTATTTTATTTTAATTCCTCCATCCTTCCCACATGAAATCCTCGCGCTTGACGACACTCGAGGTGAGAAAGACGTCCGCGTGGAAGGGTCTACCTCATTTTCATCCCTTTCCTCCGCTCGTCTTCCTTGATCATGTTGTGAAATGTCTTGTATATTCATTACCGAGTTGCCACATTTGCATTCAACAAAATATGGACGTATGGAAATATGCACAAACTGGACCACACCCGCGTCCCGCGGGATCCGCTTCGCTGGTAACAACGTTTCAACAGACATCAATAACTCAGGTCTAATTTGTAATTAGCAGTAAGAGAAAATGAATTATTAAAGGAATAACGTTTGAATTTCCAAGTGCCACACTTTCCATGAATAATAGGGGATGCCTCACGTCATCAGGGAACCCTCAATTGGATGTATGCAAATTCTCAGATACACCCGTCTTGTAGCATTCAAGTGAGGCACGTAGTTGAAGTTTCGAACATCCAGGTATTGGATAAAAGGGATGATTTTGAGCTAGGCACGGGATGCGGATGAACTCTATTGGATCGATCTGAAACGCGGATTTAGCGGGCAAATCAAGCTTGGTTTGCAATCAAGTTTCTTGTTTGGTGCAGGCAAATACACTATCAGAATGTACCTCTATCCGCTTCCAGCGGCTGGCGGAACGTAGTGACCTGTGGTGGAGTAGACTACCCGCGGAATGTTGTTAGATATATATCACATGAAAATACTGTATGAATATGTTACAAATATATGTTTCAACCGAGAGAGTTGAGCTATGAGTGGGTCATATAATGTGCTTATGTAAAGGTTATGTTTTACTTGGGCATTCAAGAGCAGGGATGTTCGGCGCCCCTCCTGAGCCATTGCGTCTGGTAGCTATGCTATGTCCTTCCCAGGCATGGTCATTGTACTCGAGTCAGGTTTTATTACGCCCTTCTGGTCTAGTCTTCGTTGTCCTGGTGAGGCCCTTCATCGCGTTGGCATGGTTAGTAGACCTCAATTTTCTTCCTCCAGTTCGGTCATAGGCCAAAGAATGAGAAAGTCAGTCTGTTTTGAGAACCAATGGGTCAGTTGGGTTAGGAAAGGGTCGCCTTTGACCACGATTATTTTTTAATCCAACTGCTCCATAACCCCAGACATAGAAGGAATGCGGATCGCTTGATGTGCCTTCTTCCTGTTTTCTCTGAGCTTAGTTAGTATATGGCAAAACACGCAAAATCAGTGCGTGAAAAAGTTTGAGGGTTGAGTTTTTCTTTGGGGCATATGTCATGAGGACCGAAGGTAGGGGAGGGTGCCGGGACTGGACGAAAACCGCCTGGACCGGGATGACTGGGACTTGAACCCAAGCCTCTCCCGTTATCGTGGTTTGGTGCGCTACCATTACACCACCGAACCCAGGACATGAAGTTCTTCTGCCTATCACTACATATAAGGGTTTCTATTCCAACGAAAACGGGCACTCTCGCCCTCCGTTCAATGTGACTACACATTAAAATTACTACTTATTTTATCATCTTTCGCAACTAAAATATGCACCAACGCAATCTACTCATCAAGAGCTTGCGATTGATCTATCACAGGCACTAAACGACGGGTTGGAAGTCTTTCCCTCATGGATAATTGTTCATTAGCAGTAAGAAAAATGCAATTAGCAATCAGATATAAAGGGCATCGTTGACATAGAAGAGACTGCCTAGTCCGATCCAAGAGAGGGCACTAAAAAAAGGTAGCATCAATAAAATAAATTAATTAACTTTTAAATTAATTAATCAATTAACACATTATATTTTTTGTGCAAGGTTCTAGACCATGACAATCAATATGAGACCACTCTCACCATCACATGATTCATGGTTAGGTGATTCGGTAAACTGCGTATTATATATGTGGATATTCGAGGTATACAGTACTCGTGTATGTGGCTATCCCGCAAATACCCAGAGCCACCTCAAGCCAAGGCTCCAATCGATACTATGAGAGTGAAGCCTGCTACGGAAATGCTTACGGAAAATAGCCGTTTTAGCTGCTATAATGCTCTATTATTTTAAAAATCGCAACAAGTTTTTAATAGGGACAAAACAGTGTCCATATTAAGACCAGTTTGCGGTATCTACAGAGCGTCTGAAATGTGTACTATCAATACTAATTATGAACGGGTGGCAACCCTAATCATAGATGATATCTGTGCAAAGTTTAGACACATTTTGCCAAGGTTTTTGAGATAGCTCAACGACCTCGTCGATGAGCTTCGCAGTCTGGCTACACTTCTATCAGAGTCACTAGATGCTCTTGGAACTCCGCGATTCATTCACAAGAGTAGTCAGGCCCGAGCATCCTAACGTGTCCATCGCTCTTGAAGTGCTAATCGCAGCTCCAGTGAGAGAGCTTCTCCAAAATTAAACAATGTATCACATATCTAAGGTCAAGCGTGTCACAAGAACGCCAGATAGGACTGGCTCTCTATCGAGAGCAGGTCAGCAGGTTATTGAATTACGAGAAAGTGATCGATGAGCTGGTGGCGAAGCTTCCGAGAATACGAGTGCTAAATCTTTGGACAACTGTCACAAATTCCTCTCCTTTCCCCATTTAATGAAAATGTAGTGATCTTTTCTTTCCTGATATAACTTCGATAATAGAAAATGAAGTAAGGGGCAAATCTCCGGAATCCAGAGGTAGCCAATTGTCCTGGGCGCAAGGTGGCCCCGCATTCCCCTGCCCCGGGCCTGGTCCAGACGTTCACATGGGTACGCTGCAGATGCACTTGTCCGGGTTTCCGATACAGTACTCAAAATAGGCGTAAGAGGGCGTTTATGTTCCCCCGAACATTCAAACTCGAGTCAGGACGCACCGGATCTTAAGAAATGAGTTTTATTCATTTCCTTGCATTTCTATCATAATACTTGTAAAGTAGCATTTGGTAGAAGTATAATTTTCATGTTTCAATGGCAATCAATGATTCCGAAAATTTTTAAACGCTGGGGATTCGCACGAGGACAGAGAAGTGTATACTGACAGATTAGGAATTTTTACTCCCGGAAGCAAGAGCGTCAACTTACAATAAACTTGAAAGATTGGCTTACATGTAGTGTGGACTTACTACCTACTGTCTCCATGATCGCTAGAGATAGGCGCCGTTCATGAGACAGCCAGCATAGCCTGTTCGGTCTTGGAGACCATGCCGAGCGTCACCGTCTTATCTTACCGGAGACGTGATGCCGGATGACAGTGTCATTAAAACTCACTTCGGACACTTCGGACAAACTCACTCACTCACTCACTTTACGACATACGTTTCTACCTCATAACGTACGAAATATGTACCTCACTGTACGTTTCTGCTTAGCTGTGTAACCTCAAAAACTCTAACGTCACCAAGAAGGTTGTCGCCTCTAGATTGCTAGTTCAATAATTTTCTATATACTAGGGCAATGGAGCTTTATATCAATCAAGGCTTAAGACACTTTGGCTTTACATGTGGCATGCATGAATCGGCCGTCATTCCGCGTGCACGAATATGTACGGAGCTGCCGCTTTTCCCCTTAGGTTCATGGATGGCGACTTCCGAGCGCGGATCCTTCTTATTCGCCATTCATGTTGCTTCCTTATGCAAGTCTTACTGCCTCGTGCTGTCCGAGCGCGAGGCGCTAGAATTGAACATTAAACGCCTAGTAAAACGTTCACGTTGCCGTCCTCCTGAAAAACGGGTTACCAAAACTCTCTACTAACAAAAGTGACGCCGTGCATTGTGAGTTTGGCGGTCTCCAAGCCCCCTAGACTGAGTCGTGAAGCGCTGATGGCGACTTTGGGATACTTGGCGACTACCGTGTAATTAACAGTTCAGGATTTTGTAAGTTCGAAAGAAAGACAATTAATGATTGAAAATGAACCATTCTCTGCCTACCGCAACTCATGGAGAAAATAGTTGATTACACTTCTATGCTACAATGAAAAAATAGCCAATTGCAGTATTATGATATGATTAGTCAATGTACTAAGCGACTAGGTGAACCTTATTGGAATTTGTTTGCTAATGCCATCTTATGCTTCTCCAATGAGAATTCGGACCACCTTATTGTCCATATGATGCTAAAGATAATGAACTCACCGATTTTCTTCATGTGGCTACTGGCTTTTTTTTTCAATGCCTTTCAAACATTTACAATGATGCAGGCTAGGATTGTGAGCCCCTTAAGTCAGGTTTGAATGTCGATCTTGTGAATGTACGAGGGTCACTCAATAAGTTATCTACCTGAATAAGAAAGAAACATCCGAAGGGAAAAATAACACTTTATTTTTCATTGTAGTCACCTTTTAACTCAACACACTTATTCCACTTTGATTCCAAGGATTTTATTCCCTGGGAATAGAAGTCAACTTCTTGTCCATCAAACCAATCAGAAACGGCAACTTTCAGCTGCTCTTCGTTGCATGAAAATCTTT